AACTGTGCAAGTCTGCGTGTTTGGACGGCGCATATCAGTCGAATGTGGAGATTACGGTGAACTAAAACAGAATAGACAATCGAGTGGAAGTTGATCTATAATCGAAAGCGGAATGCTCGCTCCAATCGTAAATAGTGACATTTGGAAACTCGTGGCATCTCGGCGGAGGCGGACTATCTCTAGGTGGGGACTGACTGCAATCATTTGCTTCAACAATCCGATTTCGTTATAATTTGAACACGTTAGTTTACTGCGACCTAATTAAGAAATCTTGAGGCACATACCTATTCTTTATCACAATAACAAATATCGAACTGAAGCGAGCAGATGGTCTTTCATTTTCAGAGCTCCTCCAACGTTTGCATAATATATGCACACACAACGTGGGGTAAACCCGATATTCACTCATGGAATCCGGCAACTTAAACCCGCAGACTTGGAGAGGCAAACCACATAGGGCCGCACTTGCTAGCCCTTTGTACTGACCGTACTACATCGAAGCTTCAAACCACCAAAGGTGGATCGCGGTGTCGGGATGAGAACTTCGGACTTTTGGGGTCAAAAAAGCCGGTGACAGTGACATCACATTCGAGTGAACGAGTTGATGAGATTTGAAATGGTTGTATTATAAAAGATATTTAGCATTGCAGTGTTTTAACATAATCGGCAATGATTATTTTTGAAATTCTATTTCATTGTTGCAGACCCGCTTCGTGAACTGCATTCAAAGTTTTTGCTTTTAGTGAAAAGCAAAAACCCTGTCATAAAGGGGTTTAATTTTCTCGACGCCACGTGAAGGATGAGACTTCAATTGTCAGCGTTTACATCGCAACGGGACCTAAATTTCTGATAGAGCTGCTAACCGTGATCGGGCGTATGAACTTGCAACATGACGCGTATACAAGGAAAGTTGGTTTGATTTGATAGTGTTATGTATTGGGTATCTTAGACGTGGAAGTGCTCTCCAAAGGAACTGTGAACTACTTCCCTGGGACTGGATTCCCACTTGCCATTCCGTTGAACTTTCGAATAAGTTTTAGATTATCTCAAGTACTGTAGAGCTTTGGTAATCACTAAGTTGCTTTCCAATCAAGTGAACTTCATCGAATCTCAAATCCACTTCATATTCCGAACACATTTGATACGCTTGAATGTTTCAATAATAGTTGTTAAAACAGCAGATCAATGACGAGATTGCGGGTCAGACGAGCAGAACGTGTTGACACCCTATCCTGGTATATGATCCACGCGGTCAAAGTGCACTGTACCAACCGTGGCGAATTCAGTGGTCATGCAGTGAGATTCGACTGTTCTGCACACGCACCAGGATACGCCGAGTCTAAGCAATCTGCTGGAACTAAGTGCATACAATCAAATGAACGTTGAAAGGTTTGCAAATTTACAGTGCGGGCGTGTCATGCGACAAATATCGCCATGAATTTCCGGGGACGGCTTACAATATGCAGAGCTCGCCCCTGTGCTACTTGACTTTGCGTCTATTCAGTCAGTTTTCAGTCCAACTCTCACTTCCACTTGTTCGACTACCACTTCGATTACCTTAGATAGTGAGAGGCATTCTGATCTGGATAATACACACACAGTTTACAATGGCAAGCACGTCCCCGTCTGCAAACATCAGTATTCAAATCGATCATGCCGTGATAATATTTCGAATGTGCAACGAGGAAACTCGGATAGACCGAGCGAGCTTACAAATGACTAATTTTGAACGAGCTTCAAAGGGGAAGCCAGATTTGAATCAGAACGCCACTATTATGGCTTCTCTACTAAATGGGTGTGCAACCCATTCGAATTGCGTGATATACGGGTTGATTATCATATTCAGACTGTCTCATAGCTATCGGAACAATTGACATCCATAATTACGCCTACGTGACGAATCCATGTTACGTAACCATGTGATTAACCCCAAATGTTTTTTTTGTGTTGGAGAATTGGAAAAAAATGAAATTTAATGTGTGGCACTGCTACACTATTACGTAACCAGTTACGCTTCATTCAGTGCATTCAGCACACACACACACACACGACTCTCAACGGGCTGGGTGTGTGGAATCAAACGCAGAAAAACGTGCATCAATAGATGTTTACCTGTACCTGTCTCGTCGTATCAAGCTCAGATTGTGCGTCTGCGCGTGCGTGCGTGTTTGTGTCTCTGTGTAATTTAGCATGAACTACACCGCAAAGCGTTGGGAGGTCCCTCGACATCAACGAACTGATGCAGTCACCAAAACATCAAAGTATGCAAGCCATGTATGTCGGATGCAACACCACTTCGTTTGATGTTTGTATCAGCTCATTTTTCCCCCTGTCAGATTACGTAACCAAGTGCAAAATATGCCGTGTTTTGTCACAGTCGTTTTTATGGTTGATGATCAGAGCTGTATCTAAAAGTGTGTCACAGTAGGTCAGAGAACAAATTTGTTTTCGTTGGTTAAATACCGGTTGGGCCTTTTTATTTTTTTCAAGCATGTCATTGTACATAAAAATTTGTCCATCAATCAAGGAAGAACGGTTGCCGATGAAAAATTGTTTCCTAAAATACACTCGCAGGATTTCCGTAATCACTTCTGATTATGACCTCATCCCAGCATAGTTTCGGTCTCAGGTGCACAGCCCTCACCCTTCCTATATACCGTTTGGCTCCTAATGCTTCTGTTCGTGTCGGTGATACCGCTGAGCTATAGATTTCGCTGCGATCTCCCAATAAATGTTTGGATGATGGAACCCGTTCGGTACGTTCGTCCTCCTTCTGTAGCTCACTCTCTTTCCCTGTCCCTGCCTTTGCCAGGTCCCGAATAAATCACGTGCTCCACGTCAAACCGGACCACTCAATCGGATCGATGCGCTGGTTCAGCAGTCCGCCAAAACGGTGCAACACACAAAAGTTCTCAATCAGCTGGCTCGGTCCGTGCGTAAAATAAATGAAGAATTGACCGGAGCTGAACTAGATGACTACAAGAGGTATGTGTGATGGTCCAAAAAGAAGTGAAATCTGTCCGGATTAATGCAGTCACGTGATGTGAATCCTCCTCGTTCCCTACCATCTCGTTCGTTCCTGTTTATTTTGTATTCAATCAATTATTACCGTCTACACGCATGTCCCAGATGAAGCATACGAGTATGATCTGATTATTGTTTAACATATAGGTATAACCCGCATTCATGTACAACCATGTACTGCAGTTTGGCGTCCAATTTTTGGTAATGTCATCGTAGTCATTCAGAACAACAATTCTAATGCCAATGCCAATTACATATTGGCCAACCTGTCATGTGATTCGAACTGACTAAATGTTTAAGTCCTCATGAGCGATGTACCAATTCAGATCGCATGGATTCTCTGTCCTGTCATGAAAGCTGAACATTGAAATATCTGATCACCGGTCCGAGTTTGTTCCCCGGTGTTTTTTATCAGACCGTGTATTCAGGACGTGTACGAAGAAAGTGTGACTAACACATAGAAAGACAAGCACATATTGGCGCCGCATACCCAAGTGGCATTGTGCCGGTGTGCATGCTTGCATGCATGCTATTTCATCTCGTCTGGAGTGGTGTTTTGCAATCCTTCATGTAGGAGGTCGAGGACAGTATAACAATTACATGTCTCATTACATGATTCAATGTAAGAAAAAATTCAATCCTTGGAAATGAACTAAGCTACCGAGCATATAGATGATCATGCTGGCTGAGGCCTGTTTTTTCTTTAGTGCCAGTGGATTATTAGATAAAAACAACTTCATCTTTTACGGCCACTTAGCCGATATCACAGCGCTCATCTTTTGAATTGGACATTGGGGTATGACAATTGAAATCGAACTTTATCTGAAAATTCTGAAACAAATGTCGAGGATTTACATCACCACCCTAAGAATCTGAATATTGTGTGTGTATGCCCATGTTTGTTTTGACCCATACACATGCACAAATGTACAGTCTAGCCTATCCCCCCCAGCTGATTCATTTTTTGTTCTTGAGTCATTTAACAGCAGCAGAAACTAGTCTCTACTGTAAGGAGCCACTTATGGTGTTGTTCAAAATACTTATGCAAAATGAAAACGTTCANGGAGGTAGTTCAAATGCAGAAAGAGAGAGTTTGTATCGTTCAAAATTTGGAAGAATTTTCATCCATCCCCCCGGTTGGTTCACCAGCTGTCCGTCACTCACTTTAATGCTCTCACCATACTCCAATAAAAATTTAAAAAACAACAACCAGGTCTGCGGTGGTCGAGTGATTGTTTATGATAATCAAAATTGTGACCCCGTTGTTCCGAGTTCGAACCGTACCACAACCGTCTGTCTTCAGTTCATTCGTTCCCTAGTCAGCCTTTGTATGATTGCAGCCACCTTCGTGAACGTTGTTTGCACATTTTTATACGACAAAAACAAAAGGAGTGTAAAATTCTTTACTTATTACTGTTATTAATATTAGTTGGATCCACTTTTTCTATTTTTTTCTAATTCGATGACTTTGTGGGATTGTTGGTAGAAGAAGGATGTAACTTACTGTAACGGGGTTCTAGAGTATTCTACTATAAGAAACGGTGACTTATCTCCGGGAATTGGAGTAGCTAACTGTTCGAACTTCATACAGGATAGGAAGGCAGCATACCATCAACCTTGCTCGGGTATTGGAAACGATCAGACAATGGTTAAAAAGAGAGAGAGGTTGACCAAAACTGGATTAGAGTAAAATTGAAAAGATTTGAACGGTAGCAGTTGACAGTTTCCCGATCCAAATACCAGGCTGATTCATTCTGGACATTCTACATCTCTTTTCAAATCGATGACTGAAACACGAAAAACCTCAGGGCAATACACAATCAAAACAGTTTTCCATCTTGGCCTGATGGATTTTCTATGTAATTCTTGCACACACACACACACACACACAAATACAATCAAAAAAGTGAATCATTGTGATTTGTTTTCTTCCATTCCCGGTGGTTCCCTGCTCCGGTCGACACGTGACTTTATCGTTGTGTTCGTTTATGAAAATTATACACACCTATCTGTGGTCATTTATGTTTGCACACGCCGGTAATGCGGGCACTCTCTCTCACACACCCAAATACATACATACACATGTTTACTTTGAAAATGGTCAAAATGTAGTGACCGTGTTCTAGGTCTGTTCTCACGCATTCCATCCTGTCCCCATTGTGACAATGGATAGCTTTCATTTCTTCATATGGATGATTGTACAGTGCTTCCTATTCTCACAATCAAGCAGCCGTACTCGGTTCCTATTTACCTATTATCCCTTGTGCGTGCTCCCAGTGTATTCGGTTGTTGTTTGTTGTTGTTGTTTGCTTCACTTTCCTAACACGTTTCGTTTGTTCACCCCACACTGATGTCTCTTTTTTGAATATTCCATTCGAAATTAACTGTTGTATATCCCGTTTCGCCCGACCGGCGTGATCTGTCCACTCGGCTGACCGTGCCTCACTGACCAACAACTGGTTCTACTTCCGGGTTACAAACGATTGAGAGAAATCATTATTGTTTAAAAGAAAACACTTTCGTTTCGTATTTCGTGTTGTACGGACTTATTGTTGTTATTCCACATTATTTCATGTGGATTGTGGGTCTCATTTTCCAGATGAGCATATCATGTACCGCGGCGCCAGAATGAAATTTATTGCTCCCTTGACTTCTTGCCAATTCC